TGTCTTCTTTGTATTTAGCCCACATACGACCATTTGTACAATGAAATTGTCGAATTCAAAGAGCTAAAAAAAAGAAGGGCGCTCTACATTTGATCGAATTACAATTTTCAAATCAACGGGCTCTCTCAAGTATTATGTTCAATCTAGCATTGCAACAAGAAATAGATAAAACACAGGATGGATTTTCAATGGATAAAAAAAACTCGTTCAGTATTATATAATGAATTTCAAAACAAATAAAAAATTATATTAGCTATAATATAATACGATTTTCTGGTTTGTAACATTGTCAGTACCTGTTGATATGCATGCATGAGTACTGAAATTTATTTATAATTTAGAAACTACAGTGTAGATTTTTACATGTAGCGGGGATTACCCATGAGTGTCAAGTTAACTTCATATTCAGCTCCTAAGTTTCAATGCAAAGTTCGGATTCAGAATTCGCTTCAGGTGACTAGTCTTTCTGGGAAAACGAAATGGGAATGAACTGAAATTTGGAAGTGTTACTATACTTTTCATTAAGCAATAGTGGCATTACCTTCATATTGCAAATTTAATAGGTTGGACTGTAGAGGGCGCTAATTCATTTAATCCTCAGCATCGAAGTACGGTAGTACATTGACTTGTTATCACTTAGATATGACGTCATGCTGTGGTGATATGCAATTCTTAAAAGTTGGGTTTCACGGGGTAAGGGCATCTGCACAATTGCTTAGTACGGGCTAAGAAACTTTAACTGCATGTTAAATCTGACCATTGTTTTTAAAAACCCGTCAAGATCCATAGCACGGGTACACGATAGAGGGACTGTGCACAGACTAGCGGTCTAAATCTGCTGGATTTTTTCATGTTTTTTTCTCTGTGCACTTTTTTTTCAATTCTGCCACCCCCCTTCCTAATGATGCTTATACATTATTTTCGTATTGTACATTCAGTTGTTAAAGCGCGGTGGTCGTTGTGCAGCGCGTGTTTGAATTTCATGTAAATAAACAATGTATTTTACACACGTTGTATACGTCGCTATGAGTCCCATATCGAACAGGACGCTGCGTGACGGCCACCGCCCTTTAACAATTTACCACCAAGATGATTGAAAACGCATATGGTTTGCAAATATAATTTACAAAACTGGCCTCTAGACATCTTTGTTATCAGGAGACATTAACTTAACAATTACATCCTCACTAGTTCAATATATACAAACACAAAGACAAGCGCCTTGTCCTTTGGTTTACTAGGAAATCATCAGTGGTTGTATTTTGTAACCTGTCACATTTAGTTTAGTACTGGTAATAAATATTTATAAGCTGATTATGCAGTGTATCTAATGCACCTGCAATAACTTGGTATATGCACAGATCAACAAGTACAAACCTAGGCGAGGGTTCTCCAAACCCGCCTATTCACAGAGTTCATACCCACCATAAATGACTATTTTCAACTATAGGCAGTAATCAGCGATTCTGCCAGTGACAAGGAGATAGAATCTAGGTCAGGGGAAGCCCCATGACCCCAAGATTCTTTTACCCTTTACGTCACGAACCCACGTGACCAAGGCCACATGGTAGCGCTATAGGCAGCCGTACAATCACTCTGGTTCCTTTTCTCTGCCTCGACACTACGGAAAGAGTGTGGTGGTTGGGGAGGACCCGGTGTCTATGGTGGGTATGACTATTGAATAGGCGGGTTTGGAAAAACCCTCGCCTAAATTCACTACGTTCAATTACCCACCATAGACTTCGGTCAGTCAAAATGACTATTTTGAACTGTAGGCAGAGTCAGACGCCGATAGGTGGCGGGTTTTTCCTAGCAAACAGAAAGAATGATGAATTTCTTTTCCCAGTCCGAATGAAAACAAACCAAAAAAGCGTGGTGTCTTACCTTGCCTGCGCTGTTATCAGAGCAAGAAGCCAAAATGCTGCTACGGTGACAGGGTTCGATGTGCCGATAAAGCTAGACCCCAACCCAATTCTGGGGGGTAGTAAGCTTTTGAAGTAAAGATCGAAACAGTTCTGCATGAGGGCATAGGCCGCAAAGCTGGACCTGGGAGCTTCCAGGGGAGTGTTGATGGTAGAAAAATCTGTCCGCATAAAATGCCGGACTGACTTATTGCCTATGCGCAGGGACCCTAGTGGTCATTCAGGCTGGGTCAGCAAACCAAGACTGACCCGCTATGACGGGACCCAACCTAGAGAGACCCTTTTCAATGGATTCGGTGTCTCTTAGGTGGTAGTTGATAAAGACGTTCTGCGTTCTCCAGACGCCTGACGCTAGCACTAGTGAGTGAGCAATGGCACAGACTTCATGCGCTCGTCCTTGGTGTCTCTGCAAGCTCTGTGTCGAGGAAGTTAAAGTATTATAGACCTCTAATACAGTCGCAGTAAACCACCTGGTTATGGAAGTTGGGGAGGCCGGTCTATCATGCCTGCCTGGGCCATAACACAAAGATTTGTGCCTGAAACCCCGTTCCAAATCCTTAGTACGGTTTGGTGGCAAATCCGTGCTCGAACTGGGTAGAGAAGCAATTCCTCCTGACCCTCTGTGCAGACAAAATTTGACAGCCGGGGGATGACGATCGGGTGAGGATCGTGTCCTGGGATTTGGTTCTAGGCGGGAAACCCGATTCGTGTCTTTATCACAACTTGATTTTCCATAACGGTGGTACATCATCCGAGAAGAACAATGCTCCAGCTCTGGTCAACGCCTACTTAAGGCAAGGGCCAGTAGGAAGACTATTTTCCATGTCAAAAATTTGAGTGGTGCTGATTGGAGAGGCTCAAAGGGTGGTCTGCTTAGAGCAGACAACTTAGCCGACGAGTCCCAGTTGGGTGGCTCCCTTGTATGGGGTCTTGGCATCCGAAAAGCAGTAAATATTCTCCTAATAATAGGACAATCGGCTAGTCTTGTTCCCGTACGTTTTGAGTGGTGGGGGACAAGGCCGACCTGTAGCCAACGATCGCTGCATATGACAAACCCACTTCGTCAAACAAGTGGACAAAGTAGCCTGCTACCTGGCCAATAGAGGGATGGTATGGATCAATCTCCTTTCTGCTACACCAATTAGTGTATGTTCGCAGCCTAGAAATGTAGGCTGTGTTGGTGGAATCCCTGTTCGCCCTGGCCAGGATGTTGGCAGCCCGCACAGATAAGGCTTTCATATGTGCGGGTCTACTGAGAGCCTCTATGTGTGTAAGTGATACCTGCTGGGCTCATTGGTAGTGCGCCGCCTGGTTGGGACGGCAGGTCCGGTAAGTCCGGAAGCACTGCTGGTGTTTCGACTAGCATTTCCAACAAAAGTGGAAACTAGGCCTTGCTCGGCCAATTGGGTGCGACCCATGATAATATGCAGGTGTGCACCTGTCAAGGTTTTCTCCGGTGCCCGGTGAACTAGTGGGAAGGGAGGAAAGGTGTACACAACTAAGTGGGTGCACGGGGTTAGCAAAGCGACCTTGGCCCAGGCTCCTGGAGTCTGCAAGAGTGTTACATACGTTGGGAGCTTGGCGTTCCAGGGTGCGGCAAACCGGTCCAACCCTGGACCGTCCCACAGCGAAACAGCCTGGAGGCTACCCACTGGGGTATCAGCCACTCAGTGTTCTGGAGACGGAGCCGTTCTGAAAGGGCGTCGCCAGACTGTTCCTCACCCCTGAAAGGTGGTGTGCGGTTAGCTCCACATTGTATTCCAGGCACCAAAGGAGGATTTGCTCCACTAGGACTGACAACGATGGGGAATGCTTCCCCACTCCATCTTGAAGGAGACCACTGCTGCGTTGCCTGTGCGAAGCAGGACTCTGTGGTCTCGAACTATGGGTAGAAAGCGTGGTAGTGCTAGGTACACTGCTCTCAGTTCGAGCCGGTTGATATGGTAGTCCCAAAACTAATGCGGGGGCCATATCCTTGGGCTTGTTCGTCCAATAGATGGGCTCCCCAACCCTGGGGGGAGGCATCTGTTACGCAAGTCATACCTGCGGCGAGCGGGTCCAAGGGGCCCCCCTGTCCGAGGTTGGCCAGTGACGACCACCAGGGCAGGGCTTCCTTCACTTGGTCCGAGATCGAAACCCGCCTATCTAGTTCCCATAGGAGAGCTCGGCGTTATAACAAGTGTTATACTGGAGAGGAGAACCCTGAATGGTGTCTCCATGTGGAACCGATCAAAGAGCATGTACTGATTCAGTCTGCCTAGGTCCAGAACTGGAAGCCCGCAACTTGTAGATTTGGTACTACAAACACATTTGAGTAGAAGCCTGGACTTAGTACCGGCTGATTAACCTGTGTATGGCGCCTATTTTCCCAGCAAACTGCTACTTTCTGTCTGATTGAGTCCCCTGGCAGTGCCCAATAGGGTAGATACTGACGGGGGAAATGGAGATTTCAGCGGTATCCCGTAACAGGATGTCACCACCTGGAAAGGTCCAGGGAACGGTCACCCGCTGTCTCCAAACCAGACTACACCGGGGCAACCTGTGTAAGACAAGGATATGTGGCCATGGGTTCGGCAGTTGCGAGGGGGGGTGCTCCTTTCCCCCATGAGGTGAGTTCCCCAAGACCTGAAGTAGTCACTAAGTTGTGACCTGGCCAGTCGCCGAC